TTATTTCATTCTACTTATCTTCCATAATAGAAAATCTGAAAAGCTTAAATACGCGAATGGAGCTGTTCTATAGTAAGTACCAACTTTTATAAAAACGTTTTAGAAAGCATAATATCAGTGTCACTATTTTTAGTTGGAGCAAAATGTCCATACAGAGTTTGATAACTTTTATGTAAAACAGACGTAAGAATGAAAACAGGTTTTAATGTGGCATCATAAGTTCAATAAGTCATCGTGACTATTATACTACATTTAGTTTATATGGTTTTAGACAATAATATCAACAGTTTGAGCATTCAACGTATAAAACATCGTGGAAAAGTCAGTTTCAGGTCTACGCAGATTGCAATTTGAATTAATGTATGAACATGAACATGTTCCATAGGATAGATATTTAGGTATTACTTACTTTGATTGCCTTTTTTTTTTTTTTGTAAGCTATTCTGAGGACTATATATGTGTAGATTTGTTAAATATTTCTTTTTTTTCTTCACCAGAGTTACGGTGAAGTAAATCGGACTGAAAACACCATAGATATTATATATATATATAAAGTAGTTTGTGTATAAACTATACAAATTAGTCAACCTGTAACATCTGAAGCATTATTTTTTATTTTTTTGTATTTAAAGACTTTATTTATTAGTGATATTGATATGAAACAATAAAATCCACCCAGCTATAATACAGAAACCAATATTGTGTTAAAAACTATGGTAGCATATCTGTAAAACATCAGACAGTTAACGCTCGTGATCAACAACACCCTTTGGTGGTTCGCTCATCCCCCACCCCCCAGTGACTCATTTTGGAATTATCCGCCATTTATTAACACACTTTAGGTCCAACCGCCGACAACAACATAACTTGGAACTATTAACCCCTAGTGGCATCTAATGAAACTATGAGCCCTCTGGCGAAATTTTGTGGAACTATGATATTACGTGACATCTCCGGCCTCAAAAGATACTCCTTCTGAGCGATTCATCTCCACTCTCTGACGATCCCTTGTTTAAGCGGCTCCTTTGGGATAAGGTCGGGAGGGTTAACTACTACTGCAGTATTCAACATTATTTAAAAAAAAACAAATTCTAGTAATAGTCACACTAGTTTTTGGAATAGTTAAACTCTTGTAACTTATTTCGATTTTCAATTAGTATAAATTATAAACACTATAAAAAGTATTTTCTCCCAAAAGTTCCCTTCTACATTTTTATTTGATTTTTCGTTGTTGCAAGAACCAACTTAGATCATAAGTACTTTAAAGTTGGTTCTTATATTCATATAAAAATCTGAAATACTTTATAACTTAATTAGATTTTAATTTACAGCCTTGTTTTTTTTAATGCCTACTCGTTTTTTCAATTTCTAAGATGGACTTATCGAGTCAAGTAAATTTATTATGTATTTTTTCAGGTTAACATCAAAACAATTTTGTAAGGGTTAGCGTATTACATTGTAATACCAAGCTCAGGATTAAAACGCGCCATTAAACACTGACCTCCAAGCTCAGGATTAAAACGCGCCATTAAACACTGACCTTCAAGCTGAAGATTAAAACGCACCATTAAACACTGACCTTTAAGCTCAGGATTAAAACACGTCATTAAACACTGACCTTCAAGCTGAAGATTAAAACGCACCATTAAACACTGACCTTTAAGCTCAGTATTAAAACGCACCATTAAACACTGACCTTCAAGCTGAAGATTAAAACGCACCATTAAACACTGACCTTCAAGCTGAAGATTAAAACGCACCATTAAACACTGACCTTCAAGCTGAAGATTAAAACGCACCATTAAACACTGATCTTTAAGCTCAGAATTAAAACACGCCATTAAACACTGACCTTCAAGCTGAAGATTAAAACACACCGTTAAATACTAATCATCAAACTAAGGATTAAAACGCGGCATTAAATACTGATCATCAAACTAAGGATTAAAACACGCCATTAAACACTGATCATCAAACTAAGGATTAAAACGCGCCATTAAATACTGATCATCAGGCTGAGGATTAAAACACGCCATTAAATACTGACCATAAAGATGAGGATTAAAACATACCATTAAACACTGATCATCAAACTAAGGATTAAAACACGCCATTAAATACTGATCATCAGGTTGAGGATTAAAACATACCATTAAACACTGACCTTCAAGCTGAAGATTAAAACACACCGTTAAATACTGATCATCAAACTAAGGATTAAAACACGCCATTAAACATTGATCATCAAACTAAGGATTAAAACGCGCCATTAAATACTGATCATCAAACTAAGGATTAAAACGCGCCATTAAATACTGACCATAAAGATGATGATTAAAACACACCATTAAACATTGATCATCAAACTAAGGATTAAAACACGCCATTAAATACTGATCATCAGGTTGAGGATTAAAACATACCATTAAACAGTGACCATCAAGCTGGGGATTAAAACGCACCATTAAACACTGATCATCAAACTAAGGATTAAAACACGCCATTAAATACTGATCATCAGGCTGAGGATTAAAACGCACCTTTAAACATTGACCAACAGACCGAGGAATAAAATCGCACCAATACCATACATTTGAGTAATAAAGTACCTTAGATATTTTTTTTAATTTCAAACTTTGAAGATGAGCAATTTATAAATTACAGTCTACTTCCAAAACATGCTGTAATAAGTTTTGAAGATTTAAAATATAACTGTAATACATTTTGAAGTTTTAATAACAAGTTTTATTGGATGTCACACAACTCTCATTATTTTATTTACTCAAGCAAGTGTTAGTTTCTACTCGGGCAACAGATGTGAAACGTATGGTTTCTACTCATGCAACATATGTGAAATGTATGAATAGTTCCAATGTATCCTAGGAAGTGCACTGAACACACGAAGAATTTATATGTATATAATATTCCAGCAGTAAAGTATTGCTTTGACCTGTTTATTCCTTAGGACACTAGTTAGTCCCAAACGTTTGTCTTTGAATATTTTTTCTTTCATATTAAAACACAGCAATAATCAAACTTTTATTTAAGATGTATTTCTTAATTGTTTTACTGTCAGATTCTAGAAAATGGCGACCTGGTGATCCGTACCTTAGCATGGGAAGATCTCGGTGGTTACACATGTCTGGCCAAAAATGTGCATGGAACGGATAAGACGTTCACTTTTGTCTATCCAGCCGCTGTAAGTTCAAAATATGAATGAGTCAAAATCTAGTGTTAGGCACGAAAGTTTAATAAGAAAAGTTCTTCCCAGTTGTATTTAAAATATTCTTATTATCAAATATATTACACGATTTTATGTGTACTGTTTTTCTATTAGATGGTCCTGGTGGCAATTTTTTACCTCATGTTGGGACATAAGTCATTTGTTGCATGAAGTACAATATTGCCTCACAATAATAAATCGCTATTGCTTGCTAAAAATCATTATTAATGTAGTTTTTATGTAAACACATGTTTCACATTTCCTTCTTTTGAACTGTTAAAACTATTTATTTTCGCAACAGATTAATGAGGCGGAAAACTTAGTGTGATGATGAAAAACACAACCACAGAAGTGACGAATAGCAACGTATTGATTGAACGTTTCGAAATATACACGTACTATCTTCAGTAAATGATTACAATAAACACAGAAACTCGACTCGCAATCTGAGGGTCGCGGGTTCGAATCCTCGTCCAACCAAACATGCTCGCCCTTTCAGCCTTGGGGGCGTTATAATGTGACAGTCAATCCCACTATTCGTTGGTAAAAGAGTAGCCCGAGAGTTGGCGGTGGGTGGTGACGACTAGCTTGCCTTCATTCTAGTCTTAAACTGCTAAATTAGAGACGGCTAGAGCAGATAGCCCTCGTTTAGCTTTGCGCGACATTAAAAAACAAACAAAAACTATGAAGTTGTTGTTTTTTTTATAGTCAAGCACAAAACAACGCAATAGGCTATCTGTGCCCACCACGAGTTTTGAAACCCGCAGACATGCCGCTGAGCCACTAGGGTAAAGGGGGGGGGCGTTGCAATTAATAACTTGAATGTTAGACAAAAGCTCAACTTTGATAGATCGTCTAGGCAGAGTATTCATGGTGACACTTTGTTGAATGGACGACAACTGCCTGTTGCAGAGACACAAGTGTAGAGGGACGGCGTTTCGTGACCTGAAGACGAAAGGTGGATGATTCTCGAAACGTCGTCCTCTACAATTGTGGCTCTGCAACAGGCAGTTGTCGTCCATTCAACAAAGTTTCATCTAATACGGTAAATAGTTATATGTTTTAGCTACGGGCCGCACAGACCTTGAATCGTTCGCCAAAGAAAGGTTATTTATTAATAAACGTAATATCTTCACTTGAAGAATAACTCAATAGCTATTGAGTTAAGCCTATACTAATTAATTCTTTTTTAGTAGCTATCTAGACAGTTTTGCTAATTCATTTAGTTTATTATTTTCAAGTTCATTTATTAATAAACAAAATCTCATCTCTATTTAATATCAGTGAATGTTATTTACCCCATAGTTTTTAAACCCCTTTTTTTCATTTTTATCTCCTTATTAATTCGTATAATTATCATAAATTAAAGCTATTTATAATTTTTGAAAAGTCTTTCCCTTGACCTATTTTCATTTTCGCATTAAAACATTTAGGTTATGAGGATTAGATGACGTTAATAGCCAGGTTTACTTATTTTATTCATGCGAAAGAACATACTGTTGCGTCAACGAGTCACGTGACCACTGTGGCGCCCTCTAGTTTCTAGAACTATCTTGTTCTTTCGGGAATGCTCTAGTAATTGCTCGATGTAGGGTGGGCTGGTATATATAAAGGAGGGGAATGTGAGGTGGGTAGATAGATAGTGAGTAATTAATCTGCGGTCGGAGTATTATTGACGTTCGTTGCTATAGCGTTTGTTTAGCGCGATTGTTGAGTGTATCGGTTAAGTTATATTCGGAAAGAATAAACCAGTTTTATTAAGTAAAGGCTTGTGTCGCGTAAGTTTCGTCGGAACGAAGTTACGGAAAATTAACTAACAAACGGAG